GGGCACTGCGGTACTTGGCGGGACCGTGCTGCTCAGGCGGCTCCCTTGCAGGGTTGGGGTCGTTCTGGGTCGCCTGGAGTGCCACGCTGGAACAGGCGCACACGTTGCGGGCCATCCGAGTAATATTGCATGTGGTACGGGAGAGAAAGAGATCCTGCGATCGGAAGTATCGCCTGAGTTTCGTTATCCAGTGTTTCCTTTGACGAGATGCAATACTTTTCGCAACTCAGGGTTGTTTTTTCGAGTTGTCAAGTGTCATAGGTCTATGCTTTACTGGAGTAGCAACTGGCGCTGACTCAGTGCAGTTGCCTGAAAGCGTTCAGGACCTGCTGGTGCTCTGGGCTGGTCGTCAGGCTCCCTTGCAGAGACACTGGAACTGTTTTGTGCTGCTGCTGTCTGTGAATCACAGTAGGGTCTGTGCTTTTGATTCCTGAAAGGCTCTTTTTGCTGAAAAACATTCGTATCTGTGGTTGCCACTTGTGAGAAAGCTGGTAGGACGTGATCAGCGGTGCTAAAGGTGTAGAATCTGTTCAGGCTGTCAGCCACATGTGGGCAGATGTGCAGCTGTCTGCATAGGAAAAAATAATCTGAAAAACTAGTGTCCTAGATACTGACTTCAAAGCTGCAAATCTCATTTTCCAGCTATTCCTGTCTGTGGGATTGCAACAGGGGTTTTTATTCACTTTGTTCGCATTGTTAGGAAGCTGTGTACGTGAACGTGTTGTTGATTGTTTGGTACAGGCGCCTGTGTGTGCAAACACGAGTGTGTGTATGTCTGTATATAGGCACACGTGACAGTTTAATATTAGTACTCTGTAACCTGCTTTATGGGCATAGTTGTTCTTGTTTAAGAGTAATTTATTTAGCTTCTGTCCTCTGGAGATAGGATTAAATTAATTCCCCCCAAATAAATTATTCCTTCATGCGGATAAATTTTCACAGAAGAATTTAAAACTAATCATGTTTATAGAGCTTTTCAGGTAAAATTTACTGATGGCTTTGTCTAGAGGGTAGTTTTAATCTTTTTTTTCTTCTTCAGTAACATTTTCTTGGCACCTCTGGAAACACCTTCTGCAATTGTTGTTTCTGGTGACTAATGTTCAGCAGTTTTTTTTGCTCTGCATTTTCCATTAATAAGCCTGCTGAAAGTTAAGAATTTCCAAACTAGATAAAGCGGAGATGGATTACTCTTAACTTATGTAGTTATTTCTCACCTATAAATCTCGTAAAATCAGCGTTTCTGTTAACGCTGGCTTGGGGTAGGGAAGGGTCAGTGTCACCGAGTTGATAGCTTCTGTTTAAATTGCCTGACACGGGCACATTCATTTTGTTTGGACCTAATTCCTCAAATCTTGCGTGTTTTTACTGCTGTGTGCAGTCTGTTAATATTAACTTTCCTTCTGTGCATTATCTGATATCCTCGTATTGAACTTCTGTGATGCGGTGTTAGAGATCTTGTTGTAGGAACGGCGAGCCAGCACTTTAAAGTAGAACCCTACGCTTATTTTACTTAGCTCATTAGGGGTACTTGGTACAAAAACGTGGTCAAGTATTGGGATTTTTTTTCTTTGTGTACATCTGAGAAGGCACTGTAAGGAGTGAAGTCCACGTTAGGAATTTGGAAGTGGGTATTTAAGTTGTAAAAACTGTTGCCTTTTGTGCTCGACTGTAGTTCAGAAACAACTTTTTTTAAAAACAAATTTATGAAGTCTTAGCTTAAGATACGGCTATGAAATATCTGCATATGGGGGAGAAGTTGAGAGCCTCTCTGTTGACTGGTGCTGCAGGCCTTCTGAAAGAGGGACCTGGGTTATACGTAGGACTGTTGGATTCTGCAGTGATGAGTAGAAGAGATTTTTCCCTAGGGTGAGTTGTACTGGTGTCCAGGGAAGCCTGTATGGATCATGCTGTGGTACTGATAAGTGTGCTTTTTCTTGGAATTTTTTCGTTGGAAATCTTTGAAATAGATGTAGTTACGCAGTGTTCACTTAATATGTATTTTTGCTAACAAGGAGTGTTTTGTGTTTGAACTTCTCTATAATGATTAAAATTTTAGGCTTGATTGCAAACCTCTGACTTTTCAGGCTTCCTGTTTTGTTGGTCTTACTGACAAGAGGCTGAATTTTTAAAAAACAAAACACACAAACAAAAGCAACCAAAATACTCCCCAAAACACCAACCAACCACAAAACCCAGAAACAACTGAAATTTGCACAGCTTTCATCTGTCTTCTAGAAACAGAAGTGCATTTGGTATGGAACGTGGCCATGGGTACTTCACTTTACACAATGTAACCCATATATGTAACGTGCTGTTAGAAAGCCAGACTATCATGTGTTGCTAAAGCTTCATGGAGCTGAACTGGACGAGTGCTGAAGAAGAAGTTAGTTTAGTCAGCTTCCCTTCTCTCCAGACTGTTAAAAGGTGGTAAAATTGAAAAATACATGTTCCTGATGTACCGAATTTCCTGTGTACCGAATCCCTAACTGGTATTGTTTGGAGTTCTTGTTGGCAGAGCTGGAACACTTCTGTGCCTGTCCTTTCCACCCTGAAATACAGCTCTAATGCTGATACTGGCCAAAGTCCTACTAGAGTTAAAGTGAGAACATTGATTAATTAATAGGTGGAGTGAGTTGATTCTCTTTTATACCCCTAAATGCAGTTCTACTCTTCTGCAGCATTCGTCTAGAAGAGAATATTTATGATGAAAACCCAGTTTCCTTCCTCAAAACAAATAACACAACTGTCCTACACAATGTTTTCTTTATCAAAACAAAAATGCACTGTGTTCTGTTGAGGGGAGCAACGTCTGATGAATTCTTTCATGAGACGCTTTCTTCTCATCTTACCTGTAAAAAGGTCCATTCACAATGAGCAACAATGCAGCAGAGCTCAGGATTGTCTGTAACAGAGTTAGAGTTAGATAATAATTTCTCAGCTCTTTATAGATTAAATTGAGCTTGATGTAGTGCTTGCAGGTTCTGTTGTGGACTGACTGCTCCTGTGTCTTGTCTGTGATGCATGCTTCTGCTAAAACAAATCTGGAGAGATGTAACAGTATAATACCATTGGTGCTTTAACAGTCTGAGATTTTAACACTTGTACAGGACCAAGCTGTATTTAATTACTCTTCGAGGCATTTGTTAATGTGGTTGTTAAATAATGTGCATCGTTACCACACAGCATTCAATTTCATTAATACTGGACTTGAATTTAGAAGCATAAAGTTATGTTTAAATTTCTTATGCATTCTGGAAAAAAGAGAGATTTTCCACTTGAAGCTCTTCGAGTAATTTTGTTTCTGAATTGTGAGAAAGGAAACTGAATTGTCATCTGCTTTGCCTTAACAGGGTGGAAGAAGGAATCTGTCTACGGCCACCACTGCTAGTTTGTCATCTAGCATCTGACCTGCGAGAAGGCCATCATGCAGCAGCCACCACAGACTGTTCCAGCAGGAGCGGCAGCTCCACCTCCTGCAGGCATTGCTCGGAACGTGTACTGGAGAAACAGCTCGCTCGGTAAACGAGCAAATGCAACAGCTGCCCCGGTGCAGCCCGTGACAGACCCTTTTGCATTTGGCAGACAAACTCCACAGGGTTCCCCTTTAGATAATCCATCCAAGGGCAATGCATTGGTTATGCAAAGTTCTTCCCCAGCGGTGTTTCCACAGCCAGCCGTTCTGCATACTTCACTGTCACGTGCAGGGGACAATCCTCATGGACCGCATACGTCTTTAGCAGCTCCTGTATCTCAACCGGGAATAAATACCAGTTCATTTTCTAATGTTTCAATTCCTTCCCCGTCCCCAGGATATGTTATAAATAGTACTACAGAAGCACATCCAAATGCAGATCTTGGACTCCGTGGGCCTGCAGTACCATTGCATTATAATACAGGAGCAGCAGTTGAAAATTCTTTCAGTGTGCACCCTGGAATGGTGTCTGCGTCAAACAAGCCTGGAGGTAGACAAGATTTTAGTAGAGATCCAAATGATGTTCCTTCAGGACCCAGTGCAACAGCACTCTTCCCTCCACCTCCACAGCAGCCTATGTCTCAGTGGAGGCCTGTTCAAGGTAACCTGCAGTCTCCAGTTCGAAATTTTGTGCCCTGTCCTGAGCCATCTTCTCAGATTGACGTTCATAACATTTCTCAGTCTTCTGTTAGTGCTTCTCATCCTCCTCCACAGACGAATTTACAGCAGGGTCCTGTACACCAAGGTGTTCCACAAAATATCATTCAAGCGCCTTTATCCGTTGGTTGTGAAAAGAATGGGAAAAATGGCTCTGCAAATAGCAGTCATCACATGAACAGCATCCAGCCTGGGAACATGTTTAGGCAGAACGCAGAAATGACCAACGCTTGGTTAAATCAACCATATCAGGAACAGTTTTACCCACAGCCACCATTGCAAGGCTCCAATTCTGTCGTTCCCGCAGCTCAGGAAAATATCCCCAAAAACCAATCTCCAGATATGTCTGAAACATCAAATAGACCTATTGCCACAGATCGAGATTCAGGAACTCTCTCCATGTTTTTCAAAGGGGATGAGGCGGAAAATGAAGAAATACTTTCATCTGAAAAAAATTACGTAGCTGAGAAAACTGAGTTTGATGCTTGTCAGCCAAATTTGGCATCCTTGTATCACCAGCCAATGCATCCTCAGTGGGTTGCAACTAATGTTCTCTCTCAGGCGCAGATGGGTACAGGTTCAGCCAATGAGATGGTACAAAAAGGAATGGATGTCCAGTACTTTCCTAAAATTGTAAGTCAGCAGGAGACACAGGCCGCTAAGCACTCTGTGTTTGTTAATGATGACAAGGCACGTATAGGTGACATGGCAGGGAATAGCGGGTCACAGTATGAAAATGTTGAGAACCTGGAGTGCGTTCAGAATCAAGAAGTGCTGCCAAGTGAACCGCAGAACTTCAGTGCTTCATCCCCTGCTGCTGGTCCTGATCTGTACAGATATACATCCTTTCCAGGTCAGATGCTTCCAAAGAATGCTGTTGTGAGCCATGCTGAAGGAGGACCGAATTTGGAGGCACCCGACTCATTACCTCATCCCGTCCGACCTGATAGTGTATCTTCAAACTATAGCAACATTAGCCATAGGAGCGCTTCCAGCTCAGCAAGACCTCAAGAGCAAGTCGGTACGTTTATTCAGCAAGAAAGTGGGAAGCCTGATGAAGAATCTTCTGCCAGCTTCTTTAAACAGATTGACTCCTCGCCTTTGGGAGGCGATTCGAGTGAGCTAAACCTGGGCATGAGCTATCATGGTCATCTATCCCAACCTCCAACTCCAAGTCCTCCTAAGCCTACAGGAGTTTTTCAGACGAGTGCAAATAGTTCTTTTGAACCTGTGAGGTCCCATGGAGTTGGTATAAAACCTGCGGAGATTGACCAAGCAAAGATGGTGGTTGAATTAAGAGAGAACCACTCAAACCAAAAGAATATCAAGAAGAATACAGCTGTGCCGACTCCATCCCCAGGCAATCTTGAACAGCCACCAGATAATCTGGAAACTATTTTCATGCCTCAGGTACACCCACTGCCTCTTGCAGTCACTGAAGCTGGAAATATGTTGCACTCTGGACCTGTTATGGAAAATATACAATCAGTATCTGAGAGAAGGTCCTCAACAAGAGCTCAGGGAGCAGTTAAGAAGTGCGATAGCCCAGCAACAACTTTGTGGGCTCATAATGAGTTACCTAATTTTGGGGGAAATGTTCTTCTAGCTCCTGCTGCTCCTGCAGTGTACGTACCTGCCAAACAAACTGTGGAAGTCATTCAGCCTCCCGAAGAAGGTCTGTCTAATCAGCAGGCAAGTAAACCAGGGACTACTGCTGTGCAGCTTTCCCAAGATGGAAATGTATCCTCTGAAAATCTTGAGAATCCTCCCAAAATGGGAGAAGAGGAGGCACTTCAGTCTCAGGCAAGTTCTGGTTATGCAAGTTTGTTGTCTTCTCCACCTACAGAGTCTTTGCAAAATCAGCCTATCCTGATTGCTCAGCCTAATCAAAACTATAACTTGGCTCAGCCAATTAATTTTTCTATTTCTCTCTCTAATCAGCTAAGCAGCAATGAAAACAATCAGCCAATGAAGGACTCTGGGGTTGGGGACAAGCCTGCACTGGGTCCCCAAGCTTCACATGCTGGTGGGATCATTTCTGGGGAAAACATGCCATTACCTGTGATGCAAGTTGGATCTCTATTAGTTAATGCACTTCCAAACGCTAATCTGTTAAAACATAACTTATTACAAAGCCCAGTTAATTCCTCTGATACTGCTGCTAATCAGCCTGCAAACTTGCTTATGAAAACTCCGCTTAATTTGGCTCCAGAAGGGCAAAAGGATTTTAATATGGAAGGTTTTGTTCCTGAATTTGCTAGCAAGCCAGGGTCTAACTCATCTGTTTCTCCTGGGACAAGTCTCCTCAGTGGAAGTGCAAGTGCACTGGTTCCCCCTGTTAATTCTGTAGTACAGGCTAATAATTCTGCAAATCATTCAAATAGTAAAGAAGAAGCTGCTGGAGTGCTTGACTTCACAGTGTCACGGACATTGGAGAAAAGCAGTGCAAGTAATTCTGTACAGGTGCATAATCAGTCACTTTCTGGTGGCCCAGTATATCCTCAGCAGTCAGCTGGTAGTGCTGGTCAGGTGGGTCCTGAGATGCATGATGAACAACATTTCTATCAACAGGTGACAAAAGATGTACAGCATCAGGCTGTATCAGACAGAGCTGTACAGGGAGCATTGCCGTCTCAGCCACAAATGCAGGCAGCTCAAATGCAGCAGCCAATATCTTCTGGGCAGTCCTCAGTTCCTTCAAACTACCAGGTTGCCGCAGGGACTAAAACCATGAGTAACCATTCTCAACCTGTGGGTCCCCAAGAGGCAAGTTCAGCACAGCCGACAGCAAGGTATGATCAGACGAGTCCCGATAAGCAGCTGGCATCTGGACAACCACCACCGAGTGCTGCAACTTCCACAGCCCCTTCTGCTACCACCAGTCAGTCGGTCACACCAAACGTGCAGCAAGACCTGCAGCGTCCATCCCTGCCTCAGACTCCTCAGGATGCCTTTGGTCCACCCCAGAACCCTTACTACTACTATCGACATCCTTATGATGCTTATCAGCCTCCTTATCCACCACCCTATCCTCCTGCAGACCCCAGAACAGCAGCTCATCTTTATTACATGGTAAATGTTTATTTTCCCCTTCTTCTCCCCCCCCAGTATGTTAGTAATTTTCATCTTTGAATTAAGAGTTTGAACAGTTGTGTCATGATCAATACTCAGAATAGCATTCATGTTAAGC